CTCAGCATGCTCCTAACAACTATTTGAACGATCTTTGACCAGGAATGACACATTTAACAGCCCCAATGGCACCTGGGTCATGTTTTTAAATGGGGTAAAACATGAAGTAAGTGTTCTGAGTCAACAGAAGGGGGGAAGAGACTCACCACACAGAAATGGTTGGCATAAAAACAGAGTAGAATCGTATCTTCCGTCTGTGATGGAAGACTGTAAATAGGCAGGCGGCTAAGGTGACCGACCAGCCAAAAAGACGCAAAAAGAAGAAGCCCAGGCCGGCACCAGCTTCATAGACGAAAAATCGGTCCGCATCGGTCGTCTGGAAAGTATCAAAAAGCGAGTTCAGTCACTTAATGGCCTTCATTTTACTTGGTGAGGGTATTAGGCAATGCCTTCTCAAAATCCTATTTTTTACGTGCCAATGCATCATATACGCGTTTGCACATGAACGTTCAAGCAAAATGGCACTTTTGAAATGTAACTCACAAACTGTGAGTAGCACTGTTTTTACGTATAACTTTTGTCTGGTGTTTGTGTTATGGAAGAGAAGAAGAAGATTCGATCGCCAGGACAACACTATTATCCGCCTGACGTTTCGACATCCATTGCAGATTCTTCGTCCAAGACATGAGCAGAAATTGGTAGCACAAACGAGTAATGCATGTCACCTCTTGCGAGAATTTCGGCCTCATCATATTTGAATATGTGGCCGGGTTTCATCGAATGACTTGCAACTTGAGAATTTACATCAGTTCCCCACACAGTGGCCGCGTGTTCGGCAATTGGCGTCTTCAGAAGTCTGGCCGTTTCACCGACGTATTGTGTTATATTAGCTAGAGTTCAGGGGGTCGAGGGACGACAGGGGATGCATATAATTATCTACGCGTTTCTTAAAAAGGCGTGGGGATGTCCCCTACATGACTGATTGCAGGATATTATTCCATTTTTCTGTAGCCCTTGGCGTGAAAAATTCACGAAACGTTTAGCACGTAATTATCCACCACGATCAGGTGAATCATTTATGCCGTTTTTAATCTTCTAGTGGTTAACAAACGTATCATTAGCGAACGGCACAATTATCTGACGTATTTATATGCTAGGTAATATGTAGCTGACGAGATATAGATAGAGATATACGATTAGCCACTCTGGCTGCTTTACACATAAGAGCGGGCAATTAACTTCCTTCTTTCAGTCTTAAAGACTCACTAAACCTTTCGTCTAGTAAATATTGTAGCTACCAGGATTTTAGTCCAGAGGGTCTGAATACACCCCTTACCCCCCGGCTAAGAGTTGGGGGAGGGGGGGGAGGGGCGAAGAAACCATAATTGATGAGTATGGGCTCCCCTACAGATTGGCTTTCCTGATGCTCGCAATGTGGTATTACGATTTGGTGAATAATGCCTAACTAATCTTTCTTCAGTTTCAAAGATAGAGACTAGCAAAAGGAAAAAGTTTAAAAATTTGCTGGTGTTCGAAATACCCCTGGGAGAAACAAGTAGTGTGTTTATCTTTGGTAGAGAAAGACGAGGAAGGTTTTTTGAATATACCCAGCTGTCGAGTACACCGAGGGCTCCGCTGCCGACAATGTATACCAGCAGGAATCCACCGTAGAGGTTGCACACCTCAAAGTTGAAATGTCCGCAGACGATCGTATAGCCAAAAGCTATGCTCAGTGCATTGCAGATGAAGATGAAATTTGCTGCTAGCGAGAAAACTGCACCTAAAAGTACAGGAGCTGAGGTCAGATTTTGGTTCATAGAGAAGGCCGCATTAATTTTTATCATAGAAGTAAAAAATTGTGATCTATAAACCATCGACGTGACTGCATCCTAAAAAGGAAACAGTTCAAAGACTCATCGTCATGGGATGCATTGTGAAAAACATCAAACTTAAATGACATTCATATTTTATATCAGACACTTGCGAAAATTAACTTCACAATTTTTCCAGTTGCTCAATTATAGGCATTTTAGCAAGGAAATATAAGGCAAAGTTGGGCGGGTAAAATCGATCCAAGTGTGATTAAACTCACGGTGTGAAGCGTGGCATTTGTAACTTAATGGTAGAGCATTGGCTTCCGGTTAAGGCCTTCCCTACTATGCGGGTTCAAATCCCGCCAAATGCCGCGAGTTTTTTCACAATTGGGTCAACTAGAATTAAGCATATCTGCCAAACCCCCTAATAATTATGCTTATCGCGCCAGTAGAAACAAACTTTAACACAACTTACAACGTCCTTATGCGGAGGATAGTCTAATGCTTGGATATCAAACCTGAAATGTCCAGATATTTGCAAAATATTCCTAAACAATGGACAAATATACGTTGCAAAAATGCCTAACCATTGGAGGTGAATCGGAAGTGGTAGTAGGCAAACGTGCGTATTAAATAGTATATAAAGCTTCTTATTATAACAAAATAAGTAGTAAGTTATATACAGTTAATGTATGTGTTTTCCGCAGGCAATCCTTTCCCGTTGGAGACTGTCTGTTTGTAGCCGGCAGATGTAGTGTTCACGGAGTATCCAAGACATGCCAGGCTGGCTTTGCGTGAAAATGGACATTTAAGTAAAAGACTTTGTGCACTGCAGTAAACATCTTCACAGTAAATATTTCAAAGTAGTGAGTGCTGATTATTTACAGACCTCGATAATTCATATTTTCCTAACGAACTGCCAGTTCTTTTAAAAATGGCAAAAACAGCAAGATTTATTGGATCCATGACATTTCGAGAGAGTTCTTCAGTTGCTGCCTCTCACTGCAGCTCTCTCTAAAATGTCATGGATCCAATAAATCTTGCTGTTTTTGCCCCTTTTTAATTTGCGCCTGAGAAACGTTGCTTTAAATTTCTGGCACTGCCAGTGTTTTTGGACGTCGGTCGACTTTGCCTGCTATCTCAAAAATGGAACAGTTTTTTGAACATTTTGCAAGAAAGAGTCATTGGCTGCATTTCGCTCGTTATCTGCAATGGTAATACTCAACGCTGTTGTGGACCTAAAGCGGAATTGGGATTTCAGACCTCCAGGTTACCGTTGTCGATTAATTGATTTTGTGAACAAATTCTGGTCCAAGCACCTTTGCCCTTCGCTATCTTTGCATTATCTGCAAATCAAAGCAAACGGAGAGCACTTTAACTGACCCCATCATGTATAAACCCATCAAGAATGCTTTCGCATTGGGACATATACTCCCTTCCTATCATGCTATGCTGTCACTATAGTCTATCATCTAAACTAAGTATGTCTCGGATGATGAGTCCGCGACGGAACTCGAAACGTCAGGCGAATAAGAATGTTGTCCCAACGATCGAATCGTCTTCTTCTTAAGTATTGGCAGCTCTATCCGATATACTTCCGTGCCGGTGTTCATATCAATTTTTGGACTGAGCCTTGAAGCCAAATTCAGCCCAATGTACTCCGAGTTAGCGATTCATTTCTGGGCAGATTAAAAACGGTAAGGACCCCCAACGGCAAAAGACCACGCCGAAGGGTATTACGAAATTCAACGTTAAAGGGGATTGAATGTGTTCGTATATGTGCGTGGTAGCAGCACAATAAGAAGGAAATAAGAGCCGCTTGTAATTGTTTCACTGAACTAAATATGTGGGTGAAAGGGTTGCCAAAAGGACAAAATAACGGAAAATGTAGCCTACAAACCAAGAATACTCTTAGAAAACCTCCTACTGAGTAACATAATCATGG